ACTCAAAATATGATTACAACTTTTAAATTTTGTGCGCGAGCCATTTTTAATTTGTTGGAAAAGACACACCCCCCTGGTTCACAAAATTTGAGTTCAAGAAATTTTTTTCATTATTCTACATTATAAGTACCCAAAGAAGCTATATATATAAAAAACCGGATACAAATAGGTGTTTTACGAAATTGAGAGCAATTTCAAATCTGTTCAGTTTTTTTTGATACACCCTGTATATATTTTCAAACGGCTTGCCATGGCTAATCATATTGGATTACTCCAGAGTTTGCGTACAGGTGTATATGTATGCCCGCCAAACCATAAAAAGGCACGTCGTAATGAGGTAAAAAAATACACCAAATTATAAAAATGGATTCGTATCTTCCTATCTGAATAAACTCTTTTTAGTAGGTTTATTTTATGGCTTGCGATTATTTTTTAAAATATGACATGGTGAAATTTCATGTTTTTAACTATAACAACGTTGTCCTCCCGAAACATTCAATTGCATCCAGTTACCAGAAATTAGCACATTAAACATAAAAACGTTAACAAGCCATTCTCACCCACCACAACAATTCATCCACCAAATTCCACCAGTAGTTCACAGTGCTCCTAGGCGAACTATAATCAACTGATTATGTTCCGCTAACATGTATGTATAATTCATCAGGAGCAGAAATGAGTATTTATACACGAGCACGTCGTTCCAAGACCAGCTATCAGGTTGGAAACGTGTTTTCCCGGTTATTCTTGAACCTGATGACAACATAACATTAGTTTTGAACATACAACGGTATGGAACTTGGCCTGGTTGGCGAGACATTGGCATTCACCCAGTCCTTGGCGATATCATACATAAATGCACCGGGGTTTTGCCTTCACACTCATCGACAGCACATATATAGGCTACGTTTATCTTCGCATCAATTTATTTATTTCCATCAGATCATTACAATTTCCCAATTCACATATGTTCAGAATACTATATCCATTTTCAAATTTAAATCTCTACACCACCATAGTTATTATATCAAATTAATTTTAATTTCTCAATAATCAGACTTCGCCTACTAGATGTTCCAGTAGAGGCAAGGCTGTCCTATAATATCGAAGGGTCAGAATACCTGCAATCAATTTAAATATTCAAAATAATCGACATCTGTTTGGAAAATGTTTAAACCGCGCAATTTTTAGTGTACATTTGCGTCACTTGTCGTAGCTTTATTGGTCACGAGATTTTGACTTTCAATCTGGAGTCTTTGACCGATAATTAACAACGACTGGAGAATTAGAGATTTGATAACTTTTCAGAATTCGACACCATTTAATATAAACAATATCAATAATTAATAACTCCATCTGAGAAAAACTATTCAAATTACCTATCGATTTTGGTGTTCGATTATGTTATTTTTGTAATCGGCAGGCAGTTGCATTCACTTGTATATAAACTAAGCTTGTTATTTTGGGGAGCGGTACATATAGCTCTAGCAATCGATCGTTGAACCTCCATGGACACGCTCTGTATTCCTGAAAAGACTGTAGTATATCAAACCCATTTTTCTTTATATATATATATATATACTTACTAGATAAAATTTTTACTCGTTTAGTTTTGTTTTAAAATGTATGCACTATTGTACACTATCTAGTGAGACAGAAATTATTTCTAATTTCTACTACACAGTCGATATCGAATTTGTCAACATTAGATTTTGGAACATTTTATTTTAGTTTAAACATTGCATTCGTCTCTTTCTTTTGCAGGTTGATTCCGAGTTTCTCGAAAGAGCAAAAGAATACTGTGAGAAGAAGTTTGCGCGTATGTTTGGTGAACGCCTTGTGCGTAGTCTCGATGATGAAATTTTGTTCGCAGTTGAAAACTCGGACAACCATGATGATGGTGGAATTACGAAATTAAAAAATACAATTGCAAATGATGTGTGTGTTTCAAGAAATTTTCAGTTTGTCAATCAAGAATTACCTCTCAAGTGGGTCCATTGTGAGGAGGAAATAATCGATTATCAGAAAAACCCTGACAGCAAGCAGTGTCTGAATATAAGTGAAGTGAAAATCCTTCTGGAAAACAAATGTCAGGAAACATTTACTGATTCGGAATTTAATTCAATGTTAACCTTCTTTCACGACAGTGGACTTATTCTTCTCCCAGGTAATACAGTATGTCCCATTATCGTGATCTGAAAAAATTCTCATAGAAATTGACGAGCTGTATATGTATGCATTTTGCGTCTTCTTTGCCTCATTTTCTTTCTTGTTATACTTATCGTATTCTAAACTTGAGTTTTTCGAATATGTACATGCTATGACCATTGTAAGTGGGTGCATATTGTAAGTTGCTGCCAATCAGCGTCAATTATAATTGGCTCGAAAATATCTAATGCTATACCGAAAAATTCAAGATTTGTACGACGACGTTTTAATACATTTACAGAATGCATATGTGGAACAAATCTAAAGTGCAGTAAGAAATTTGGAGGCGAAAAATAGTTTATTCAGCATATTCTTAGTCTAATTTTCCATTATTTTTAAAGTGTATAGGCGCATGGCTTTCAGGGTTATAGGACCACTACCCCCTGTATGTCTGTTCTAAAATCTAGCATTCTAAATAGCATATGGCCATATGTGAATTTCTGAATACCCTAAACTCATCATATGGCCAAATATTTCATTTTAGATTCGTTTCAAACAGTACTTGCGTCTGGCTCTACAATCGTGTAATAGGTTATTTTATATTTTATTAAGAAGTCATATTTTCATACCAGTGGATAAACGCAAATTATATTTAACGCAATTTATATATTGATGAGCCATGGTGTTCCGTGCCGAAGGATTTTCCTCACGTGATTGATGCAATAGAAATACTACTAACTACTATACTACTAACTACTATACTACTAACTACTATACTACTAACTACTATACTACTAACTACTATACTACTAACTACTAAGACTACTAACTACTAAGACTACTAATAGTCCATGGGCTCTAACGAGCCCGGTGGTGCCTCATTGATTGCTGTTCACAACGATCTTCCAGTGTTCGCGATCATGTACAATGTCCATGCATTCATCATGCGATGCAGGGCATGCCCGTCCATTCTGTGATGACGTCTATCCATGTCCTTCTCGGCCGCCCTCTTCCAGGATTATTCCAGATATTGTACGAATTCTTTTGAAATACTGTATGATCTCATGGATTTTCTAACAAGGTATGCGTTATCCGCCAGTTTCCAAGCAAATCTGCATGGAAAAAAAATGTCAAAAAAAACATACACGAGTACTACAACAATCGTTGGCAAGGAAAAATATGAAATTCTTCCTGTGAATGAAATTTCACCATTGTGGTTATTAGCTAAAACGAATCCGGATTATCTAAAACAAATTAATGATATTATAATATTACTATTGTGGTATTTGTATTAGCAATGCATGCATTACTGTATTGTTATTGCACAAGCCAATCAAGAGAGGAACTAAGGGAATGGATGAGCGATATTATGCCAATTGCGATGACAGTACATATAGCAAGTTTAACCGACATGGAATTTCCCTTAGGTATACTATATAAAACGTCAGAAGTATGGACGCAGTTCTTCCTCAAATTTGCAAGCTATGTTTACTTTTGTTACAGGCGTACAATTTTTTTCAATTTAGTTTGCTAGTTAGTTAACAATTGATAGCATCTCCTCATCTATATTCGATTATTACTATACTTTTTGTAAATTTCTACTCTTCAGAAACTGGAGGCAATAAAGATTTAAAATTCAATCACGCACTGTTCGTTGTAGCCTACTATAGGTTGGGAATATTGCAGCGTTATAATACCCAAACTCAGTCTATCCATTAGCCAATTGGTATGTCACAGTTCGAGTGTACTGGCAACGTACCCAGTCATCCATTACCATACATTCTTTTACGAGGAGTTCGATCAATTTCAGACAAAGCATAAGACAAAATATGAAATCAATCAGTTATTCGTAGAAAAATCGGATTTTCTCAGAATCTCTGTCTTACCAACCAATTGCGGTTCCGCTTCCATAACCTCTTCGAAGTCACTAGCAAAGCACCTGTAGTATCAACATCCTCCAGCGTCATGCATTAACTACAACATATGCCTTTACAGCAACGTTAACAAAAGCATCTTCGTGCAGACGCGCACGTGCCTTTAGTTTATCTACTTTGCTATTTCCAACTTTGTTTTTTCAATTTGAAAAGGGAAATATTCACCTCTTTTGACATATTCTTCATCGATCACACAATACCGCACTGTGTAATGTTTTTATTTTAATGTATAGTTTCTCTTTTTCGTTTTAGGCGTCATGTATGATGTTAATGACGAATCTATAGGGAAAGATCTGGTAATATTATCTCCACAGTATCTGGTAGATATAATGACACGCATCCACGAGGTTCCTGGCGATCGTGATTTAAAACGTCAATTTATCAACGAATTTCAAAAGCTTAAAGACGAAGGCCGAGTAGCGTTCAAGCTACTTGAGCATGTTTGGAAAGATAAGATGGAACAGGTTGACATTCTCGTTGAACTGCTTTCAAGTTTTAAACTTCTTTATCCACTTCATACAGACAGTGAATCAGAACCACAAGAAGGAGCAGAGCCACTTGCTGCTGTTGATACTTCAGTAAAAGAGTTTATTATACCGTGCATGCTGAAGGAGAAGTCTCACGAGAGTTTGAGTAAACGTTGGCTTAAGACTTGCGAGAAATGGACGGACATCGAAGAAACTGAACATAAATTTGTCTTTGATTTTGGCTGCTTCCTCCCTCCACCATTGTTCGATTACTTCTTGGTTCACATATATCGTCACAGTTGTAAAACCAAGGGAATCCGTCCTATTCTGCAAAGACGCAGTGGCATATTCTCCTTTTCCAACAAATTCTTGTTCTGTACCAGACTGGTTCTAAAAGATTGCCAGATTTGGGTCCGTGCCAGGTTTGTTCTTATGTGTTTCCACTGTTTCGCACCACACTTGTTATTTGACGTTTCCATAATACTTGGGCCGGACGTGTTAATGTTGGGATAGACCAGGGCGCTATTAATCACGGGCGTGGAAACGCGCACTAGCGCGCGTTTTGAGATAAAAGCAAAAGGAAAAGCAAAACCATGGCGGAAAAGAGATTGTTGTACGGCTTTGAAAGCCAGGGCGAAAATAGACGTAAGACCTTTTTAATGTGAGATTTCTCTGATTAATTTTAAAAAGGAGCATTATCTTATGCTATTAAGAAACTTTTTATGAAAGATCGAACCATCCAACGTATTTGAGAAAATAAGTTAGTTTTTCAATTATTTTAATGTGAGGGGAATCAAATTTTATTACTTTACGCACGAGAACAGATATTGAAATCAATGGTGTCTGAACACTAGGTAGGCGTATAGATAAATTTGATAGCTCAAAAATGTGTGGAAACTCTCTGGCTTTAGTACACAATAGCCTATATACCAAGACCGGCTTTTACCGGCTTTTTTTCTGTGCTTAAATTTTGGCATTAACATAATTTTCTCGACAGCGCGGGAGAGCTAATTTTTTATAAAACATAAAAAGCTATACAAATCGCGGTCAAACTAAAAGTCAATGTCAACATTGCAACACAATTTTTCAGTAAATTAAATTCTTAAAAAACTGTAGGTGAACATAATTGTTTTAAGAATTTTTAACCCTGTCAGCATAATTTATTTATAAATTAACACTTTTCTGTCAATCCAATGAGAAGTGTTTTTTCAAAGCCGGCAAAAACGTTTCTTTATATACATTGCAATTAAAGTTCTCTTACTTTTTTATGCATGGGCAAAAATGTCTTGTTATTATTTTACCATACTGTCTCATGTATGAACGAACTATGGCTGTTTACCACAAAATTTACAGTTATAATTATATGTATATATATATATATATATATATATATATATATATATATATATATATATATATATATATATATATATATATATATATATATATATATATATATATATATATTTATAATATAGTCATCCACCATATATGAGCTGTTCTGCAATCTGATTGGTTGAATTACTCGCCGTATATCAGCTCATATACGGCGAGTAGCGAAAAACAAGATGGCGGTCCAAAAACTACATGAGTTTTGCGAAGCAGAAAAAGGAAAATATTCGCTTTGAAAAACATAATAGTACAAGGAAAAACTCTCAAAAAAAATTTGACAGGTTAGCAAAATACATTTATTACGTAGAAATTAGTTTAAATACAAGTTTTTCAAAGAATTAATACCGAAACAACAGCGAAAAAACATGTTCATTGAGAATATAAATTGCTCAGAAAAGTTTGCAATGAACGACAAATGAATTTGCAGTCAACAAGCACTTACTATAGTACCAAACATCTGTATAATATATCTGAGCTTTCTTGTGAGATATAGAGGTTCTAAAACCATTTCTTTCACTTCGTCTTCGAGTTGTAAAACAAAAGTATTTCAAATTTTCAAGCGGTTTTTGGCCGAACAAATTGTCAACACATTGTAACAGTGAATAATTAATTATTGCTTCAGTTAATGGCTATATTAGACTATATTATAAAACAATTATACCATTCGCTCTCGTCGTATATGGCTGATAGCCGACTCGGTGCTACGCACCTCGTCGGCTATCAGCTAATATACGACTCGAGCTCATGGTATAATTGTTATATATATATATATATATATATATATATATATATATATATATATATATATATATATATATATATATATATATATATATATATATATATATATATATAAAATTGATTTTTATATATATATACGACAGGACAAAACAAACGTTGTTACTCAGAGTTTCATGCCTGAGTTTACAGACAATCTTCGGACAACTAAAGTTCCGTATATAAAGTATTGAGCACTCTATATTATATCAAGAAAACTTGAATTGTTATATATATATATATATATATATATATATATATATATATATATATATATATATATATATATATATATATATAGTTTTTCGTTTTACCTCAAAAAACCACAACAGTCTGTTTCATCCGTATAGGAATCATCAGGGGCCGGTTGTATAAAAACGTAGTTAGCGCTAACTTCAGTTAAAAAGTAGTTAAAAAGTGGTTAACTTTAATCACGTAGTTAAGCCGGTTGTATAAAAGTGTAGTTAGCCTTAACTGCAGTTAAAAAGTAGTTAAAGTTAACTATGCTTTAGGGTATAGTTAACTGTCCAAAACGTAGTTAAAAATGGCGTTTGTATAGGAGTGAACAACATTTTTCAATAAAACAACAATGAAAAGCAACGTTTACCTGAGATTTTCAATCGCTATCTTCCCTGTGAATGTTTCCTGACAATATAAACTCTTCAAACGCTATCGCTTTGGTGTTTTTACGAAAACAGAACATATTTTTGCACAGGACGATTTCTCCAAGACGAAGTATGGTCCATTACACCAAGAAACACTGATATATAATTGCCAAACAGCATTACCTTGGTTTAACGTGGGCATCTCAAGGAAAAACTGCATTCTTTTATGATTTTTGGGGTGGTTTTTCCTTGTTTTCTTGTATATTTTTCATTGTTTTTCTAGTGTTTTGAATAAAATTCCCGCCTATTTGCAAAATACGAGTCCACAATCATGTTGAAAATGTCTGTCAGCGGTCGTTACTCGCTGCTTACTTTATGTAATTTTGTGTTTAAACGCCCCACGCAAGCCCCACGCACAGTTAACTACGTGATTAGTTAACTATCCGACTAACTACGTTTTGTGCAACGCAGTTAAGTCATGTAGTTAACTAATTACAGTTAAGGATTTAACTACAGTGATTAACGCTAACTACAGTTAGCGCTAACTACGTTTTTATACAACCGGCCCCAGTTAACTAAATTTGACGGTTTGGTTTTGTTTGCTTGCGCGTGTATGATTGCGCACGTTGTTCGATTGCACGCGAATGTATTTTCCCGCCAGAAATTGTTTTTGATGGACGCAATTCGAGAATATTTCACTTCTTTTGTTGAGCAGCGAGTTCTTTTTAAATTTCATGATGAAAAGTTTTTCGTCGCTACACAAATTGCACTGGTTACGTCCCGATCCGTATGCACTCGAATGTTTTAAAATTGTCCATTTAATTTTGTATGGGCGATTGCTTTTCTTCAAACTCCATATGTACTTCGACAGTTCAGTGTCGTTAGCATACGTAGCGATGTTGAATGATTTCTGGTGGTTCCTAAAACGCTCCTTGAAGGTTGTAGCCGTAATTCCAATATAGTGCCTTGTTTCTCCGTTGTCCTCCGCTGCGATCTTTGCATGGTAGACAATGCCTTTGGTTAAGCATTTCTTGTTGAGAGGACACGTATTCTTATCTCTGCAATTGCATGTTTTGTTGGTGTGTGGCACTGGTGTTGGTGTTGGTTTTAATGGTGGTGTTGGCGTTAACGTTGGTGATGGGCGAGATGGTGATGGGGGAGGTGGTACTGGTGATGGCGCTTTTGAAAGGATCTTATTGTTATGGCTGGATATCACGGATTTCACGTTTTTCATGCAACTATAGCTCACTTTGATGGTATTCCTGTTGAAAATTTTGTTGAGGGCGGATGACTTAGGGAAGTGAATATCTACGAGGTGTAGAAAATCTTTACCAATGTTGGATCTCACGTTTTTACTGTACGGCGGATTGAACCAGGTGATATTCCTTTTTCGGTTTCTTTTTGGTGTGTTATGGGTGTTATGATTTTGATAGTGTAACTTGCTTTGGTAGTTGCTGTGATGGAGGGCTTGTTCGTATAGAGGCGCCGATGAGTCGAATGCTTGTTTGTCGGAAGAGAGTCAGGAGATTCTTTTATTAATTGACACAGGTAGTTGTCTGATAATTGGGGGTGGGTGGTTAGAGTGGCTGTTGATATAGAGTGGTTGGTTGTTCGGTTTCCTATAGGGTTTGTAACTACCGTCAGCTAAGTTGAGCGTAATGTCTAGGAAATTAACAGTTTGATGACTGACCTCTGCCGTGATCTTTAAATCAAATTGATCAAATAAATGGTGCAATTTCTTTCTTGTCTGGTCAGCTAGACGAGCACGAGTTCCCTTCAGCAATATCAGTCCATCGTCGCGATACAGGCCGACACGATCTTTCCCAAACGTTATCGATAGTTCATTTAAGATGAATAAACCAACAAGTTCACAAACTTCCGCTCCGTCGAAACTTCCCATTGTGACATCGAACATACTTTGATTGTTGCGTTTAATCCAAGGCTTTTCATCATTAAATAGCAGTGAACTTCGAGCATGTTTAATGATGGCAATATGCTGCTCGGTTATAGTAGTGAAATTTGTCACCCATTTGATCGCTTTATCCAGAAGTACTTCGGTGATTGAGGGGTAGAATTCGGCGATGTCGAAGGACAGGAAGAAGTTGTTTGCTTTATTATTTATGTCCTTGAACCATTCGATGACAGATTGCGAGTCTTTCCATTGGTTAAAACCAGTTGCAGTTCTAGTCTTGGAATTAATGTCATCGAGAATCACTTTGCTCACCTTGCCGAGTTCACTTTTTGCTGGATTTATAAGTCGGAATTTTGGGCTTTTCTCAAAGTTCTCCTTGTGATCTTTGACAGTAATGAATGCTTCACGTTTCGCCATGGTTTCAATACGATCGCTGATGTTAAGATCTGAAGCAATATTCAGTAACTCGTAGTTAATGTCATCTATCATATCGTCGCTGCCAAGTTTGTACGTTTTTATTATGTTTTCTTTCCGAAAGGTAAATGATAAGTTTCTTACAACACTTGACAATGATCTTCAGAAAATCAAATCATCTCCTAATGTTTACATGTTTGCTGATAAGTCAAGGAACATTTACGAAAGCCCACCCGACGTATACGATAAAATATTGAAAGAAAACATAACAAAAACGTACAAACTTGGCAGCGACGATATGATAGATGACATTAACTACGAGTCATTGAATATTGCTTCAGATCTTAATATCAGCGATCGTATTGAAACCATGGCGAAACGTGAAGCATTTATTACTGTCAAAGATCACAAGG